CTACTGCTGCTCCTCAAGCTGCTAGGTATGACTCTCTCTTTAATTTCCATCTATGGATATTTTCGGCGGGTTTGAATTTCTCTCTCAATCCAGAAATTGGGGGTGAGTCACTTTGGGATGGAAGACAGTGGACTGACATGTGAATATAGTCAAGTTAGGGAAAGTCCAAGTCCAGCATTCAATAGCACACCTTCGAAAAAAGATTCAGGCAAGGAATTGGCAGGACAGGGACAAAAATACTCGGAGATGGATGAGTCGTATGTTATACCCATTTCCAGCGAGGTGACACAAGAAGTTCCTAATTCTGGCATAGATTTATCGGTATGACTGGTGGAGAGATCTTCCATGAAATGATGTTACGGCAAGATGTCAAACACATCTGTGAGTATTTTTTTTTCTCCAACTTCTCAAGGATTCGAGCTAATAGAGAAATAGTTGGTTATGCAGGAGGAGCGATTTTGCCAGTTTTCGATGCGATTTACAACTCGAAACATTTCGAATTTATCTTACCAAAACATGAACAAGGTGCTGGTCATATGGCGGAAGGGTACGCCAGAGCTTGTGGTAAACCTGGTGTTGTTCTCGTTACATCTGGACCTGGTGCTACCAACGTTATTACTCCAATGCAGGACGCTTTATCTGATGGAACACCAATGGTTGTTTTCACCGGACAAGTCGTTACAACCGCTATTGGAAGTGATGCTTTCCAAGAGGCCGATATCGTTGGTATCTCGAGAGCTTGCACAAAATGGAATGTTATGGTTAAGAATATTGCTGAGCTCCCAAGAAGAATCAAGGAGGCTTTCGAAATCGCTACTTCTGGAAGACCTGGACCAGTTTTGGTAGATTTACCAAAGGATGTCACAGCTGGTATTCTACGAAAGGCCATTCCTACCCACCACATTATGCCATCTTTACCCAGTCAAGCCTCAAGAGCGGCCCAGGCTGTTCAAAAGAAACAACTTGCAGGTTCGATTGAACGTGTTGCAAAATTGATTAACATCGCTAAAAAGCCAATCATTTACGCTGGTCAAGGTGTTATCTCTACCCCAGAGGGTCCCAAATTGCTCAAGGAGCTTGCTGAAAAGGCATCCATCCCTGTCACAACCACTCTCCAAGGTCTTGGTGGATTTGACGAGCTTGATGAGAAGTCTTTACACATGCTTGGTATGCACGGTTCTGCGTACGCTAACCTCTCCATGCAAGAGGCCGATCTCATTATTGCTCTTGGAGCACGTTTCGATGATCGTGTAACTGGAAGCATTCCAAAGTTTGCTCCAGCAGCAAAGGCAGCAGCAGCTGAAGGTCGTGGTGGCATTGTTCACTTTGAGATTATGCCAAAGAACATCAACAAGGTTGTTCAGGCGACCGAGGCTGTTGAAGGTGATGTTGTTACCAACCTTGCTCAACTTCTTCCAGCCGTCGACAAGAAGACCATGGATGAACGCAAAGAATGGTTTGACCAAATTAGATTCTGGAAGGAGAAGTTCCCTCTCTCTCACTACGAAAAGGCCGAACGAGATGGTCTCATCAAGCCACAAACTTTGATTGAGGAACTCTCAAATTTGACTGCCGATAGAAAGCAAGAGACCATCATCGCTACTGGTGTTGGTCAACATCAAATGTGGACTGCACAACATTTCAGATGGAGATATCCAAGAACTATGATCACATCTGGTGGTCTCGGTACCATGGGTTACGGACTTCCCGCAGCTATCGGTGCAAAGGTTGCCAAACCTGATGCTCTTGTCATCGATATTGATGGAGATGCATCGTTCAACATGACACTTACTGAACTCTCCACTGCATCTCAATTCAACATCGGCGTCAAGGTTATTGTCCTTAACAACGAAGAGCAGGGAATGGTTACTCAATGGCAAAATATCTTCTACCAGGATAGATACGCTCATACTCACAGTGTCAACCCAGATTTCATGAAATTGGCAGATGCAATGGGTGTTCAACACAGAAGATGTGTTAAGCCAGATGACGTAAGAGATTCTTTGAAATGGTTGATTGACAGTGATGGACCAGCACTCTTGGAGGTTGTTACCGATAAGAAGGTACCCGTCTTGCCAATGGTACCAGCCGGAAATGCTTTACATGACTTCTTAGTCTACGATCCAGGTTTGTACTCCTTATTTTACCCTAACTCCCCACTGATCTTGCTATCAGTTGAGCCTATACTAACAATATCAATAGTGAAAGACAAAGAAAGAAGAAAGATGATGAAAGAGAGAACTTGCGGTTTACATGGATAAATACCCTGTTTCTCTTCTTCGTGTAACTTTTTCTCTTTACAAAAATACTTTTTACAACAACTTTTTACGTAAATGATGGCATCTTATAGTTGATATCTGGGCGTCTTTTTTTCCTGCTGGTATGCATCATGGGCGGAAAAGCGAAACAATTCAAAAGTCTTTTCGTTTTCGTTGAATTGCGTGGTTCTGGTTTTAGCCTGGCTTTCAAAATTTCTAATTGGAAATTCCTTGAAAAATGAAAATATGGGGAGGGAATATTGGTTAGAGACTTGGATGTGGGGATGTTTGAAAGCAAGAAAGGGGGGGACTGGGGAATGGGTTGAGGATGAAGAGATAGACAAAAGGGAGGAAGTAACTAGTGAAAGATCAGTGTATGTATATAGGAAGGATAGTAATGGATGAATCAAGGGGTGGATGGAAAGGATGGATGGACATGAATTGATGGTTATGAATATTTCAATTGCGAACTATGGATATCTGGCTACTTGAAGTGAATGATCGAATGGCAATGTGGTATTGATTGGCGCTTTGTCGTGGTAGCTGGTAGCGTGGATTTCTGTCATCGAGATCTTGAACTCTTATCCATGTCTGGGTCGATGGAATGTATTGAAACAGTATATACATGCAGCTCGAGAAGATGAGTGTTGTGATACTAGGTAAACCATGAAAGTCTTCCTTCCAAAAACAATCGCGTGAATATTGGAAGAAAGGAGGGGGCAGCGTCTGGATAATTACATGTCCTTAAAATTGGATATGAATTCTATGAATTGGGTGGGTGAATAGGGATGGGCGAGGTATGATGTTGATATTGGAGAGGATGGGATTCTCGACGGAATGGGATTAGGGGGGAGGAAAAGTTGAGTTGATATTGAAAAGATGATTATTGTAGTTTTAGATGGAGTACTTATCTGTGAATAGAGAAACTGGATCTTATTATTTGCGGTTGAGGAACTACCGGGCATTGTTATGGCTGTAGGGTCCTTTATTTTGAATCTCAGTCAAAGATTCAATAGTTGTTGAGATGTTGAGGGTGGTGGATGTAGATTCTTGAAAATTACACTTGTGGGTATTGAGATGATAGTTGTAGGAATGGTATGAGATTGATGATACCTAGGTAGGTACTTGTTGATTGAATGGAATGTGATTGTATATCTGCTGATAAGCTGATCTTCAACTTCGTCATCGAGACTCGGATCAATAGTCTGAAGGTTGGGTTGGGGATACAGAAGAGATAGATAACATAGGAGAACGCTAGAACGAGAAATCTAAGGAGATTGAGGATGTCGGTAGTTTCAATTTATCGCTTCAACCAGTGCCAAGCAGATAGGGAGGGCAAAAGTAGGCAGTAGGTAGAATCATAGTCGAATCTTCGAAAAGTTTCGTCCATAAGTCTCGAAGATCGTTGGAATTATGCCATCAGATCATCTCACCAGAACTGAGGTAGTATGAGGAGCTTAATGGTAATAGTAACTTTACTATTGTCTTGAGAAGTCAGAATCTTGGAGTTCGACGAGGTTTGGTTGGGCAATGCCAACACAAGTGTCGTGGCAACACTGTTTCTTCTACTTCTCTGAGGTCCGGGCTTTTAGAAAACTTTGGTGAAGTCATGGTAGGTAGAAGAAGATGGGGTGGTAGTATTCTGGGGAAGAAAGCGGGGAGATGGAGAAAGATGTGTGAGATACCAGTACTAGGCTCTAGGGAAGGAATTCCGAAAAAGGAGGAGCGCTCCGATAGGAACTTGATGGATTGTATGAACAGGACCGGTTGTCGGATAATATTTCTGCCTCGCGTTATCTAGTTCCTCTCTAGGCATTGAACTCTATTAACCATGACGCCGATGGTGTTTAGTAGGTCACGCGACCGATCACGTTATAGTGTGTGTTGATGTTAGGAGAGCCAAAAGTCATGCTCTGGGTATTCTGCAGACCATGTGGCGTCTTTGAAGATCCCGATTGGTTCTACGTACTAATATGTCATAGATTGGAAACTTCTCTCCGACATTGACCACTAAATTGGTAGGCCAAGTAACTCCAAGATATGGTGCTATCGCAACATGTTCTAGGCAGTTTTTAGTAGGCTTGACTTGCTGGTATTAGTCAGCAATAAGCGACGCCTGCAAGATCGTTGAACTTTATTTCAACCTCGAATACTTCAACTCATCAACAACTTGAAGTGCCGCATCGAATCTCGATTTTGTGTAGGGTTATGTTCAGACACAGAGTCTTGGTATCGTTTTCTCGGCTGATTTCTATTGTCTATCAAGTGAATGGCAATGGACTGCGGCTTGTTCTTTACTCTGGCCATCTTGGCCTTTCTACTTTTGCTTGGCTCCAAGACATAGAACATTTCGTCGACGCTCTAGTGGCGGAGCCATTTGTTTCTTAGTTTGGTGCCATTTGATAAGGATATACCGATTTCAATGATGGCATTCCATTCAAAGTCGCGGGGTACACTTATATAGGCCCTTTAGAATTGACCTTGTGCTACCAAGATCTAGCCTCTTGGTCACTGTAGTCTATAGATAAGTATGGATAGTATGGATTGGTATCCTTGCCAATTGTGATACATTTTTACTATATATGAAGAACATGTTTCCCCAAATGTGAAAGTTGTTTTTCTCGATAGACATATTACCACGTCCTTCTAACGACGTTCTTATATTATTCGGGTCAATTTCGCCCTGTATGATCTCATATTCATTCCGACACATCCTATCATTACTCCATCATATAATAAGACATGGCTAGAGCTAACATCGTCGAAGAAGTCTCAGGACAGTCAAACAAACCTTTGTCTAAGCCAGCTCATGCCTTAGAGTACGTGCAGGTTGCACATGAATTGGAAGCAAACCTTGAGGATGGACTCACAGAAGCTGAAGCAGCAAGACGTCTTGAACTGTATGGGAAGAATGAACTTGATGAAGGACCTGGTGTTCAACCAGTACAGATTCTTATTCATCAAATTTGCAATGCAATGATCTTGGTTTGTTTACTCCTATCCATACAGTCAAGTTTCCTTTACTCACCCAGGTTCGCTTACAGGTCCTAATATTGGCCATGGCCGTGAGTTTCGGTATCGGCTCATATATTGAAGGTGGTGTCATCTCGGCAGTCATATTTCTCAATATTGTGATTGGCTTTTACAATGAGTTCAAGGCAGAAAAGACTATGGATTCTTTACGATCCTTAAGTTCGCCTACGGCACATGCTGTTAGAGAAGGGGGAATTCGATCGGTAGCTACCGTCACAATTACTATTGGCGACATGGTTGAGGTCAAAACCGGTGACACAATTCCAGGAGATATGAGGTACTTGCCCAGAACAACCCCTTCGTCCTTAGTCTATGCTAACAGACCGTATGTAGATTAGTTGAAAGTATGAACTTTGAGACCGATGAGATGATATTGACAGGAGAATCGCTACCCATCGAAAAGAATTCTGATGCAGTTTTTCCTGAGAATGCCAGCGCGGGTGATCGTCTTAATGTTGCTTTCAGCTCCACCACTGTCACCAAAGGTCGAGCACGCGGCATTATATTTGCAGTGGGTATGAAATCACAAGTTGGATCAATTGCCGTGAGTCTTCGACAGCAGAGGCGTAAAGTCCGCGAGGTCAAACGTAATGAGGATGGCAAAGCTTTGCCGCACAGATATGCCCAGGCTGGGCTTCTTACTGTGTTTGATTATATCGGCAATTTTCTCGGCACAAATATTGGTACCCCATTGCAAAGGATGCTGGCCCAACTTGCTTGTGGCCTATTCGTCGTCGCCGTTATCTGTGCAATTATCGTGTTAGCTGCGAATGGATTTTCCAATAACCAAGAAGTCATCATTTACGCTGTAGCCACAGGACTTTCGATGATTCCGGCTTCTCTGATAGTAGTCTTAACTATCACTATGGCCGCAGGAGCTAACGTAATGTACGACAAACATGTGGTTGTTCGAAAAATGAATGCCCTGGAAGCCCTAGGCGCCGTTACTGGTAAGACTCTTTCTTTTGTCGTAAAAATGCTCGATAATTGACTTTTGCAGATATTTGCTCGGATAAAACTGGAACTCTTACTCAAGGCAAGATGATAGCGAAAAAGGTATGGCTGCCCGCTAGGGGAACTTACTCGGTTGGTGATTCCGGTGAAGCATTCAACCCCGAAGATGGAGATTTATTTCACAGCGAAAAGTCTCCGCATCAAGCGCGCAATGAAAAGGATGAAACAAAAGCGGATTCCTTCTCAAATTTTCTACAAAACAACGCCGATCTTCAAGCCTTCCTTAATATTGCCTCAATGGCAAATCTTGCGCATGTTCACAAAAGTGATAACGAGTGGAAAGCAAGAGGTGACCCAACGGAGATTGCGATTCAAGTCTTTGCTTCTAGATTCAACTGGAATAGGGAACGATGGACTTCTGGAGACGCGCCTCAATGGAAACAAATCGCCGAATTCCCTTTCGATTCTGATGTCAAGAAAATGTCTGTTATCTTCAAACATGAACAATCTGATAGCGCACAGGTTTTCACAAAGGGCGCAGTCGAGCGGATTCTCTCATCATGTTCACAAATGACAATGCGAGACGGAGAAGTTGTAGAAATGGACGAAGGAATGCGCGAAGATGTTCTCAACAACATGGAAGCTATTGCCGCCGATGGGCTCCGCGTTTTAGCTTTGGCTGGTAAACCATGGGAACATTATACCGGAATCAATGCTAAGCATGATCGCGCAGATGTAGAGAAAGATTTAATGTTTCATGGACTGATTGGAATTTATGACCCTCCGCGAGTAGAATCATTGGAGTCGGTGCAAAAATGCCATCAAGCTGGTATCAAGGTTCACATGCTCACTGGCGATCATCCAGAAACAGCTCGTGCTATCGCAGGACAGGTAGGAATCTTACCTCAGGATTCTTCTACGATAGGGCAAGCTGTCATTAACGCGATGGTTATGAAAGCAAGCGACTTCGACAGGCTCAGCGATGGAGAAATTGATGCTCTCCCAATGCTACCTCTGGTAATAGCACGCTGCTCACCACAGACAAAAGTTAGGATGATCGAAGCTCTTCACAGAAAAGGAAAATTTGCTGCTATGACAGGTGATGGTGTCAACGATTCTCCCTCACTGAAGAGAGCAGATGTTGGTATTGCCATGGGTGAAGCAGGGTCGGATGTAGCTAAGGATGCATCGGATATTATCCTTACGGACGACAATTTTGCTTCGATCCTTAATGCTGTTGAAGAAGGGAGAAGAATGTTTGACAACATTCAAAAATTCATATTACATTTGCTGGCGCAGAACATTGCTCAAGCTTGCACACTTCTCATTGGTCTCGCGTTCAAGGATAATATGGGAACTTCAGTGTTTCCACTGGCACCTGTAGAGATTCTATGGGTTATTATGATCACATCAGGTAAGATCTCGCCAAAATCATATCAAGAGTCGTTTACTAACACAATAAAACTCAGGTATGCCAGATATGGGTCTTGGTTTCGAGGCCGCCGCACCGGATATCATGAATCGACCACCTCAGAACGGTATATTCACTTTAGAAGTAATGATAGACATGGTAGTCTATGGCCTCTGGATGGCAGCTCTATGTCTCTCCGCTTTCTCCCTTGTTCTCTTCGGTTGGGGCAACGGTGATCTCGGCTTTGACTGCAACGATCGTTATTCCGATCAATGCGATACCGTATTCCGAGCTCGAGCAACTACATTCGTCTGCTTAACCTGGTTCTCTCTCTTCCTCGCTTGGGAAATGATCAATATGCGAAGATCTTTCTTCCGCATGCAACCTGGAAGCAAAAAGTACTTCACTCAATGGATCCACGATATCTGGGCAAACAAACTTTTGTTCTGGGCTGTCGTTGCTGGATTCGTAACTGTATTTCCCACACTTTATATCCCTGTGATCAACCGAAAGGTATTTAAACATGAGGGTATCAGTTGGGAATGGGGAATTGTATTCGTCGAGTCTTTCTTGTTCTTTGTAGGAATAGAGTCTTGGAAGTGGGCCAAGAGGGTTTATCTCAGGGTCCAGGCCAGAAAGACAATCGACGTGACAAGCAGCGCCGATGATGAGGACCCCGGAATGGCGATTATGGAGATTTTGAAGGCGCAGAGTACGCATATTACTAGGAAGGGGACGAGAGCTCATGTTGAGTTCTCTGAGAAGGATGGGGATTTGGAGAGTGGCAATATTAGTAATCAGTAAATTATTCGTTTCATTGGGGGTTCTGGTGTATTAGAAGATGAGGCGTGTGCAAAGGATCCAAAAGGCTTCTTCTTCTCTAGAGGCGGATGGAACTTTTGTATGCTTTTGGTGTACGGCTTTAGATATTGATAAGCACGCGAGTGCAAAGTGCATGTAGACTTATATAATTTATCAACTTAATAATAGGTTATCCAAGTTTACTTTAAAGCAATGGTCGTCTTTTATATCTTCTCTACTTGCATTGTGTCATAATTCTAGAATCTTAAAGTGATCAACTGATGCAGTAATGTATTTGATTTTGGATTCGTGATAAGACTTGACCGAGTGAGTGAGGCAAATGAAGGTGTAACCAGTACCCAATGAAGATTGCTTCTAGTGAAGGGCAGAAAAGCTGCACATGATATTCTGTCAGAAAACGGACTTTCCCCTGGCATTTTGCGAACTTCAAAGTACAAGGTTTTGAATCCTTGCTTAGCGGCGTAGAATCCTGTATGTCGCAATGGGATGCTGACATCTATAAGCTGCATGCCTAGGTAAGATTAGACGTCCCTTTTAGGTGTTTGTGCAAGTCACATTATTTGAGATTGCACTGGCGTCTGACAACATTAGATGGGGTCATAATAGTGTGAATCATTAAAAAGTTACTATACTATTTTACATGAAATAAAATCCTTTTTTGATCATCCAAGGAGCCCAACACTCTGCTTCCGATGACGAACAATATCATCGTATTGACGTCAGATATTGAAACCTTGATGACAGTTCTGGCTGCACCTTTTTTCTCGTATCCTTTCCGAGAATATACGCCGTGAGCACCGTGAAGGATTGCCCGAGACTTCCAGTACCGTAAATTCATCAGTACTATATCCATCTTAGGATCTACTACACGTGGTGTATAGGGCCTATATAGTCATAGACCAGTCTAGCCGTTGCAATCTCGTATCCCTTTCGAACAAGAATGTGCCGTGACAATCTTCGCTCGCCTTTGATCTGTTCAAACCCCCATACCTATGATATGTCAAGTCAGTCATGATTCCCCTACTAAGCAGGGAAACGAGGAGAATTACTGTAACACTTGTCCAAGAACCAGTCGAGGATTCAGTTTTATCTTGTATGCAATCACCCGAGACCGTCTCCTCTAACCATCCCGATTTCAAGAACTTCTCTCCTTCTTCTATATTTGCGGTGGGAATATATCTGCTTCGTGCCCGTATGTTGCCCCATATACAATCTTTGTGTTCTCGCGTATCCCAATTTAACCGTCTCATCTCGGTCGTGAGTGCAAGTCCCACGCCCGCAACATGATCCATCATGATGGTAACCAGCCCATTTTCATCTTTTGATTGAGTTGCATGTATAGTTACATCTGCAAAAGATATCGCGCGCCGTAGAAGCCAATTCACATTCTGGAGTCGGAGGACATGTTTAAGTGAGTCCGAGAGGCGTTTGTTCTAGAAAGGGCCAAGAAATACTTAGTCAGCACAAACGCGCTACTTCTGAAGTGAGTGTTTAAATCGTCGGCAACTTACAAGTGACCAAGATCCATTGATGTCATGAATATGTTTTTCTTGGGGAGCGGCCATTTTTTCTCGGTCTGCTTCTGCTTCTGAATAGAATCTGATTTCTTTGGCAATATTAAGACATTATGTACATTTATAATTTGGTCCCGCAATACTTGGGCAAGACGTTGTTAAGAACCTCATATTTGAGCCAAGTACATGTAAGCGCTGGCGACAAGCCCCGTCACAATGCTACTTTTAACGCCATTGGCATGGGGGTTTGGATTAATTTACGGTAAGAAGAGGGTAGCATTCCGTGCTGGTCAGCCCGAAATTTCGAATCCTGCGAGTCTGATTACCATATTCGTTCCTGTACTCCGTGCTTTAGCTCCAAGTCTATATACCTGTACACTCGTCATCATTGTTGCTCATTCCTCGATTTACGAGCTATGGTATTGGCCTTTGGTCCCAGACCTGAGACCCGAGACTAGTCTAGCCATGGCTTCAATCAAATTCCACATCACGCATACGTTTTTAGAGTCCATGATGGCTTCTTTGGATGTTAATAATGCGTATCTTACCGGAGTTACACCGGTTGCTTTGAGCAATATCAATTCCTCCAGTCTTGGCTTCTTTTGTAAGTCTCTGTATGCTTGAAAACTGTTTTCTCTTTAGCTACGCAGGTCCCAATAATATGGATCAGATTCCACCTCGGTACTGTCCTCCAACGCCAGAATGTGAGATTACACGTCTGGAAACTTTGTGGAATACTTTCCAGCAGATTCAAGATCCTTACATGTCGATGATATGCAAGCCAGGATATTACTGCCTTGCTGGGGGCCGAGAGCAGATTATATGCCCTCCGGGTAACTACCGTCCTCTTGGATCTTTCAAGCCCATTCAATACGATGTGCCATCTTCATGTCATCAAGGCAGTTCACGCCAATCTCCATTCCTTGGAATTTCTATGATCATTATTGACATTTCTCTGGCTCTTTTATTCGACTAAGGTGGGGAAACTTAAAAACACCTCGGACACAACTTATGTGAATGGCGACGCTACGAGTATATTGGAGAATATGTGCTTTATACAGTAACCTGAACTTCGGTGCTGATCAGTCTAGGTTCGAAGATCATTGACTATGTTCCCTAAGATGATCTTGTGGTATCTAGACTTGCGGTGCGGGAGAACATTCTTCACTCTGCGAGGATACATCTACATTGAACATGGACAGAGATTGAAATTGAAAAGTCATGTCGATGATCTTCTTTTTTAACTTAGACTTATCCATATTCAAAATATCCTTGTGGATGATCCATTCAAACCGGTAATATCAGTAGGTCAGCGAAAACGTGTGAATATCGGAATCATAATGAGGGGTTTTCTGTACCCAAGCAATGTAATCCAGCAGATGTATTTATGGATATCATATCGGGACAAAGCTAAATATATACTAAACCTGGCTTCAAGAAATCGCACATGACCATACCGGCCCTGGTTGGTCGATAGAATCTACAACGGAAGCGTAGCATACTTTATTTGGAAGACTTTGTCAACCATATTTCGGCTAGCATTATCTGCTTTACACTTTACATCATTTTATATTGCTCTGGCAACATCGAGAATACCATTTGGAATCTTGCTAGCCGTTGATACTCTTCCCTTCTACTGACCGTACTACCGAGGATTCTACAGCATGTGTAATGGCAAATCATATGGGTATTTATGGCCTTGCCTCATGTGCTTCCGTAACTACAAGTCGATGAATAAGCCTCTAATGGCAATGATTATTAGTTTGATTCCTGGGGCTTCGGTGGTTATGGTCCTCCTCTGTCCACGATTAAACCATGGCATCTCGAATGGTTATAGAGACTGTGTCCTGGGGTAATATACACTTCATTAGCTTAAGCTTTCACTAATCTTGAGCAAGATATGGCTTCCAGAAGTGTTCCATTATCGTACCATCTCACTGAAGTATATTTCCGATAGTAATTCCACTGCTATATGGACTGGATATACGATTAACCGACCTCGGCTCGATTTGAGGAAAGTTATACAAGCTTGTTTTGCATCTTAACCCAGACTAAACTTTCATAGCATGCTACTCATCATCGGAACAGCTTACCGGCTACTAGCATTCGTTGGTCTAACATATAAGAATAGACATGCAAGTATAATCAAAGTGACAAGGGAGGTTTTAGATAGTTGAAATTGTATCACAAAAGCTAGTCTACATCCACTATTCCTATTCGAAAAAATATTTTTGTCAGCCCTGCAAACTCTAAAGAAATTCCGTGCCCCATCATTCTATTGGCTTCCCTAACCACTTCGAGTCCCGGTACTTTATTGACCTTCCCGATACACGCTGAATTGTATCTATGAACGTTTAAAGAAATTCGAGACCCAACGGATATAGAATGTGACTGAGCGTCTATTACCCGATAAGTGGGCTTATGCACGTCAGCGCACATATTGTTCTCCGCTATATAGGCCCCGTGTGTACCCATTTCCTAGTGGCGCGCGATTGTGACTTGGGACCCTGGTATTACGCAGCTCAGAAGGGGAAAATGAAAATCCGCGACGGAAACTGGAAAATGCATGCGGGGACCTGGGAAAAAAAAAAGCAGTGAGTAATTTTGATGAATATCGATGAGGCGATGATTGTACCAATTGTTGGCCTACTCAAAGTACCTAGTAAAAATAGCTCTTGGTGGTGGGCACACGGATCACACAAAAAAAATCTTGTTCATAAGCGAAGAAAGAAAAGATTCCCCCTTCATTTACATGCTACGAGAAGCAAAAAGATTGAATGACCAGACTGGGGCACGATCCCAGGACCTTTCCCGATTTCAGATACGTCTTTTAGAGGCGCATTGTAAAGGGAATGTGATAACCAACTACACCATCCGGCCTTGGATGATTTGTGTTAGGAGATTCAATTTTTACATTATATTTCCGGTAAAGCGGAATGCAGTGCATGATGACAGCCCCGCATTGGGATCCGGTCCGCTTGAGAGTGGATCCTACAGTCTCTGACTACTCATAATCGTTGCAGCTGTTATATACACATCATAGTCTTCGGGAAGTTCAGTCAGTCACCGGTTGACAGACAGGTAGACGATGATAGACTGATAGTTTTCAGCAGTAAACGCGGTCAGAGATTGTCTACCAGTTCCTGGACAAGAGTCCTGGGAATTCATTACCCTAGTTCTGCATCATTGAAGTCCTGATTTACTCTAGTATCAAGTTGGCAGTGCTGTCCGGTTTTATTTTCCGACTTACATGTTTGTGCAACCTGATAGTTTGGTAACGTGTAAAGATTGTCATTGCTGGGTTGGTTTTCATTTGGGTGTTCATTTCATCTAATCCTACCTTTCGACTTCATCATTCTATATCCATTTGCATCGCGTTACTCATCCACCCAACGACCTTTTAGGACTCAAATATGCCATTCTTAGAAAGCTTCACACTAAGCTGGAAAGTTCAGACTTTCTATACCTATTGAAGTCGGATAGTTAGTGTCTGCTTCTAGTACAACATGATTATCTTACAATGTGCATGTACATTAACATATACTTGGGCCTCAGCCCTCATACCCTCGTCTGACTATCTTCATCCGACTCATCTCATCCTAGTAAACTCTATATACATCTACTTACTTGAGACAACCATTCAAGGCCTATCACTGTTCATACATACTGACCATGAACCTCGGCTTTGTGGAAACTTGTTCAAAGAATGGGTTAAGAAACGGCTACTAGGCTCAAATCTACAACGATTTGGCCTAGAACATGGAATATAAAGACCTTTCATCTACGCATTTGAGAACATCTCAATCTCTGAAAACTTTCAATCGCCCAATCAAGTTCAAATTAGAACCTCAAATAATCACAATGAGGTCCAGACTGTCGATCACTCTGATCACACTATTCAACTCTGTATGAATGAGGTGCCAAATTGCTAGGTCTAGATAGCAAGACTATACTCTAAAGTCCAACGACTGAAGTAGTCACCAAAAGCAGGTCACCCAAGCGACACATCACTGGCGCCCAAGCACATCTTTCCAGATCAGATATCCGAAGGAAAGGGGAGGGCAGGTGTATAACACAGAGCTTATTGAACTTTTACTCTCGGCGGATAATCTGACGATGATTCTATGGATTCTGTGACAAATTCCACAATCTGTGAGTAGGTAACAGAATCCTGTTTCTTACTCTCTCATTTCTGCAAAAACAAAGCTAGATCGAACCAGAACAACCTTATGAATCAAACCCCAGCTACCAAAAAAATCAACAACATCATCAGCTTCAACCAACGGTTAAATCGCAAGGATAGTTTTAAAAATTCGTAGAGATTCCACCGCTTAATAACGGCAATATCACTCAAGGGTCCTCCTACAACGTGATCTGGAAAGTATGTTTGACAATCTTCAATTAAGAGGGGTGAGATTTGGAATCTTGGATCGACTGCACATAGTCCAGGTGTTTATGCATCTACCCCCATGTAACACGACACAGCACCATCAACACTGGACAAAAATACGACGATGCATATCCGTAACGCTTTTCAAATCCCACAAACTCCCATACTTCAATGCAAACAGCCAAGATCTTCAACCCTTGAATCCAAACCGTAAGCCATCGCAACCTGGAATCTTCAGCAAATTCCAAGTCCGTCATTTCAACCCTTCGTACCACCGAAACTAGCTCTTCAGAAACCTCTCTCTCAGTTCGTGGTAGTTGCAACTGTCTTGCCTCGCTATAAAACCCAGTTTTCATCTCTTGATCAAAGATTGCTGGGTTCTTACTCGGATAAAATATACTCAGGAGAAGATATATATCTATCTATGGTTATAATCTATTATTGCAACGACTGTTAGTGTGCTACGGGCACTGTATTTCCGCTTTGGCTCTGCGCATCAATTAATTATATTACCATCTCACTTTTTCATCAATCTGCGGCATCGTAGCTCCTTCTCGCCAAAACTATAGAAGATCCATGGATAGCATTGAAAGATATCTCAGAGAATTTTGATTCTCGACTGAAGAGATATCTCGACTCGAATTTTCGGCCGATGATTCATTCTCAACGGCTTATGTACGTACCGTCTGAGGCTCGCACTCGATATTTCTGTGATTACTACCTATGGGACGAATATTGGAGATCGTGTAATCCTATGCCGGAGGAATAGCCTGAAATGTTAGATGTAGTGATGGGGACCTCAGTATTGATAGGAGAGATCTCGAGGCGGATGCTACAATACCAGAGAAAGCTCTTTGGTTAGATCCTAGGATTAGCTGGGCGAAAAAAATTTGATAAGGGCCCTCAGGGACTTGGGATGATTCCGCATCGCCCTCGTACGAATGTCAGTTAACGGACATCAGGATAATCGAGGTGATGAGTCTGTTGGTTTTCGCTTGACGGTTGTTCATGAATGTTTTTGATCTTGAAATTTTTGGCACACTTTCCAATTTTACATGTTCTTGAGTTGTGATAGGGTAGTATCGTGTACACTATTTGAAGTATAGAAGACGCACAAGTGTTACTTCTGCATGTACGATGGATTGAAGAACCAATAACTAAGACCGCTACAGGTGGTGTGCAAACAAAAGGTTGCCAGTCCATCTGCCTCACAAACACTCTTCAATTTTCTTTAAGCATACTATACCTATATTTATTCTGTTCAGTAGCTCGAGACGCATCCAGGAATCTTCGCCAACTAAGCCCCAGAGCTTTTGCAGCTCTTCACCACACAGAAATCAGCATGAAAAGTTAGCTTTGTACTTTTCAAGGGGTAGCTGGATGGATTCCCGTCCCTATGAATTGTTTAGTTTGTTGCATCAAGTATACGTCAGAACTGCATCACACACATTCCAAGGAACTACCAAATATCATACAGTACGTACCTGAACCATGAGGATTTGTACCCTGATTTTTGATTTTTGTTTTGGCTAGTCACTACCGCCTCAATCCAAGAATGTCATCCTCTTGAAGTGGGGGGCATCGTA